AACTATACCATGCTGCTACATGTTTTCGGTTACATGTTGAATAATAAAAGATTGGGGCGTTGTTTTTTTTTAAAAAAAGCAATCTAAAGCAGCAGCTGTGGAAGTGTTGAGCTGAAATTCTGCATCTGGTCACACCTTCATGATTTGTCATTTGCAGACTTTTTTTAATCATTATTAAATAATAGGTACTTTTAGACTCTGAAGATGATGTGGACCAGAGCAAATTGAAGTTCGCTTCGGGTCGCTATTCATTGTCAGACTTCACTGGAATGCTTTAATTATGTTTGATAAATGCATGTTCATTCTCAGCTTTATTTTCAGATGATTAACTGTTTGGGCAATGAAGTCTAACTTCAGGTTGAACTTTCTCATGCTTAATCTCAGGCTGAATGTAAAGGGTATTTTGTAAAGTTTGAATAAAATTCTGTTTACTCATTTTGAGTTAAGTATGATGAAAAGTGATTGTATGTCTAAAAATTGAAGTTTGTTTTGTGATAAATGATTGATTCCAAGAGCTCCCGTTTCCATTTTTGAATTCTGTATTGTTACATTTTGATGTGAAATAATTTGCTCTTTTTATTACTATGAAAGAGGAACAGAGAGAGAAGACATTAATAAAACTACACAGATATGAAAACCACTAGATAATAAAACTTTCATTTTATCTAGATTGTTTAAAGAATTTAACCAGGGCCGGCCCCGTGGCTTAGCGATTAAGTGCGCGTGCTCTGCTACTGGCAGCCCGAGTTCGGATCCCGGGTGCGCACTGACGCACCGCTTCTCTGGCCATGCTGAGGCCACGTCCCACATACAGCAACTAGAAGGATGTGCAACTGTGACATACAACTATCTACTGGGGCTTTGGGGAGAAAAAGGTGGGAAAAAAAAAACAACCAGAATTTAACCAGATATTAAGCCTTGATTTCACTTCCAAAAGAAAAAGAAAAAAAAAAAACTCTAAATAAATAACTCTTACAAATCAATAAGGAAAAAAAGAGAGAGCCAGCCCCAGTGGCCTAGTGGTTAAGTTCGGCACGCTTTTGCTGTGGTGGCTCAAGTTTGATTGCTGGGCATGGACCTACACCACTCGTCTATCAGTAGCCATGCTGTGACAGCAGTTTACATACAAAATAGAGGAAGATTGGCAACAGATGTTAGCTCAGGGCAAATCTTCCTCAGCAAAAAGAAAAATGAAAACAATGGGTAAATAATATGATCAAACAACTCATAAAAATATACAAATGTCCAGTAACCACTTGCAAGATATTCAACCCAACCAGTAATTCAAGAAAGGAAAATAAATTTGGCTATGTTGGGCCATTTCACTTAATAATCGAGTAATTTCTCTTATTTAAATATAACACTATCAATAAAGATTTAGTGAGGGGCATTCTGAGGTTCTGTTGGAGGATATATTGGTGAAACCTTTCTGGAAGACCTTAGTAATAAAGCCTTTACAAAGCTTATAACTCCTGTACTGGTAATATCCTAGCAGTCTAGCATAGGGAAATGATTCAGCAGAAGATACACTACAAGGATATTCATTTTCTCTAATGGAAAATTGGAAAGGCTCTAAAAAGTGGTAAGGTTATGACATCCTTTTGATGGAAAAATATGCAGCCATTAAAAATTGTGAAAAGAAATGATGGGGAAAAATTATACTATGTGAAAAAAGATAAACTATATTTTGAAAAATCGTATGCAATAGAAGGAAAAATGAAATAAAATATTCTACATTATCCAAAGAACTTGAAAACACCAATTTGCAAAGGTACATGCACCCCTGTGTTCATTGCAGCCTTATTCACGATAGCCAAGACTTGGAAGCAACCTAAGTGCCCATCAAGGGACGAATGGATAAAGAAGCTGTGGTATGTATACACAATGGAATACTACTCAGCCATAAGAAACGACGAAATCCAGCCATTTGTGACAACATGGATGGACATTGAGGGTATAATGCAAAGTGAAATAAGTCAGAGGGAGAAGGTCAAATACCATATGATTTCCTTCATTAAGTAGTAGATAATAACAACAATAAACAAACACATAGAGACAGAGATTGGATTGGTGGTTACCAGAGGGGAAGGGGGGAGGGAGGAGGGTGAAAGGGATAATTCGGTACATGTGTGTGGTGATGGGTTGTAATTAGTATTTTGGTGGTGAACATGATGTAGTCCATGCAGAGGTGGAAGTACAATGATGTACACCTGAAATTTTTACAATGTTATAAACCAACGTTACTGCAATAAAAAAATTAAAAAAAAAATCGAAAAATAAAATATTCTACAATGTTAATAGTCATCACTAGGTGGTAAGATAGGTAATTTTCATTTTCTTTATATACTTTTTCACATTTTCTACATTAGCTTTATGTACTAATTGGAGGGGAAATGCAATCGATGTGGGGTTTCAGGTAGTTGAAGAATGTTTCTACCAAAAGCACCAAGCTGTGCTGAGTTGTGTCTGCTCCCAGGATCCTTGAAGAGGCAGTATGATTACAAAGAAAAAAGAGGGCACACCTCGTTTCCCACAATGACACTCTTCTCACCTTTCCTCCAGGTCCAGAATCAATCGTCCCACTTCCCACACAGCTAAGCAGCGGCAGCTAATGGTGTACTGATCATTATTAGCTTCTTCCGTCACAACACTGCCCTATTCTCTCTCTAGTGTTCAAAAACACAAAATGTGCTGTTTGCTTGCTAAGGGGGAACAGAGTAGGAAAACACAGATTCTGCTATGTGCCATGTTGACTTGAGAACTCGGCCTTCAACCCCTTTATTTTGTGGATGACACAGCTGAGACTTGGACAGATTGAGGGACTTGCTCAGCAGCCCACCTCTGAGTGGTCGAGTTAGGCAGAACCCAGGTCTTCTGACTCCCCAGCTGTCTCCATACAGTACATGTTAATAAAAGCATCGCCTGAACTTTGTGGTTATATGAAACCTCATTTTGAAAGAGGAAAGGAATAACAGTAAAAGAAAGGTTAGTTGGTATAATAGAATTAATCAATAGAATCTCCTTTCCTAGCCTACCAATATAATAGATATAAAATTCTGTGGAAGCCATCTCCTACCTATGGCACTAGCTCATTTATGTTATCAGTAGTGCAAACAATAAAAATGAAACAAAGGTGAGATATTTTATGAGAGCATGACTAGTTGAATAACTTTCAAAGTACTTACCTGCTTAACTGCCTATCAGTAGGGACAAACTAAAAATCTGGAAATGAGGCATCTAGTGAATTCCAGAATATTTGATCTTAGAAGTCACTTGAAAGAATGCTGAAGAATATTTATTCCATCAAGTTTTGCACTGGACTTGCTGCGAGTATTTTTACATTTAAATCGACATGCTTTCTTGTTGATAATCTTAAGAATGTTGCGGGCCGGCCCCGTGGCTTAGCGGTTAAGTGCGCGCGCTCCGCTACTGGCGGCCCAGGTTCGGATCCTGGGTGCGCACCGACGCACCGCTTATCCCGTCATGCTGAGGCCGCGTCCCACATACAGCAACTAGAAGGATGTGCAGCTATGACATACAACTATCGACTGGGGGTTTGGGGGAAAAATAAATAAATTAATTAAAAAAAAAAAAAAAAAAAAAAAAAGAATGTTGCTATGAGCAAGCTGTTCCCAAATTGAGTTTGCAGAATTTCAGTGTTAATTATTTTATCAAAACAAAGAAGTTTTAATGAGACATATGGATAAAAAAGAAAAAGGAGATGGGGACCAAAAAAAATTGAATGAAAAGGCTCCCCATTTGTAGAAGTGTGCCTTAGAAAAAATTTCAGCTTTGAAGACCACTTCCTAAATGCTTTCGTATATGTCTTATTTAATCCTAACAGCCCTGTAAGACTGGTAGTTTCACTCCTGTTTTACAGCCGACTTAACAGCTTAGGGAAGGTTCAAAGATTGGTCCCAGTCTCCCACAAATGGCTGCAGAGCTGAGACTCAAAGCCCAATCTCCCGAGCGCCCAGAGCCTCCAGGCTGTCTGGAGCTCCTGGCCACCTCCATTTTTTGAGGCAATCAGTATTTTAACAGTACAAAAAAAAATTCTTGCATGTGTTAAATACTTACATAATGTTTAAAGCACACAAATATTTCAATAGAACCAGGCTATTCAAGAAAATGGCAAGATGTATTCCCAGTCCACCACGACCTTTGTGGTCCTGTGATAAGACAAATTGAATATCTTTTAATTTGTCGGTTTATCTCGGCAACTGCACGTATAATCTCATTTGGAAAGGTCAAAAGTCTAAATTCCATCCGTTTGTGAATGTGGGTGAATGCCCGGCCCCATGGCCTCTAGCCGCCCCAGCCCACCCCACCCCAGAGGTCTTTCCGGAACTGCTTCCAAAGGACCCCTAAGCCAGTTGAGCCCCGTGGACCAAACAGCAACCGGCTGCACAGTGGGCACCACACACGCTGTCGTTCGGTTGTGCTGGCCCCGAAACTCCATGGCAACAGCTCCTCTTCAGTAGACGATTATGTCCCGTCCTCCTGGTGAGACCATCCCACAGGGGACCGGTTAACTAACTCCAACATTAGAGGAGAGGTGGGCTGTGCGCTTTACGTTTTCATCAGATTCATCAACATTTTTAGTCTTCCCTGTCAAGTGGACACTGGGACGTGGTGCCCGAGGTTCGTGAAAGAAAGAGGTGAAAGGGAACAAGATGACAGGGCCCCTTGTGGCGAGGCCCCGGGAGGCTCCGAAAGAGGACGCGCTCTGCCGAGGGCACCCGGCGTGTCGCAGGGCAGAGGGGCCCGGGCTGCACGCACGCGGCGCCGCAAAGGTCACCGCGCGGGGCACCCGCCCGCCCGAAAGCCTCCAGAGCCCGCCG